CTAGAATGTGCCAACAATTTACTTCTCACATCAACCTTGTAAATTAATGATCTACAAAAGATTGTGCCATTGTCAGTCCTGACCAGCTGTTGCAAACTAAAGTGCCTTTCTTTATCGAGTCATTCTCATGTTAGGCACTTTTCTTACTACCTTCTTCGTTTCCTAGCATTATTGTCTTTTCTTGTGAAGCTTTCCATTTCATGACACATCTAAAGTATGATTGCCTCAGCTATGTCATGCTTAGCTTTAGATGTGAACATTGATCTGATCCCAGTGGAATTGAAGACTCTCTAGTTTTAGTATAGCTGGATTTCTTTCAGCTTGAAATGTATCTTGTCTGCTTTGCAAAAGACATACAGTAATAACAAAAGAAGCTATTTTATACTAGGTCAATTCATTGGTATTGCCTGCTCTGACAGGCAGGATCTCTGCAGGGTTTCAGACAGAATGAAGTCTTTGGCATCACTTGTATTTAATTATTTTGACTGAAGAATACTTGGCTTCAACTTGGAACCTTCTCGGTGTTTCTTAAAGCAAAATATACACCAGTTTTTTCGCAATATAGAACAGCACAGGCATGGAATGGAGTGCCGTTTGGTTTTGGATTGTATACCTCCTTAATTGTAAAGGGGAAAATGTCTAAGACATATTTTCCCAATTTCATGTCCTCCAGATATGTGAGACTTCAACACACATCACTAAGCAGCCAGTGTGATGCTTGTAACTAATTATTTAATGACAATATATTGAGTTTTTTAAAATGTTTTGTACATTTTGTTATGAACATTTATAAACCACTGCTATAATTTCAAAACAGTGTGCAAAAATCATAAAATCTACAACATAGAACCAAATATATTTTCTATTTTACTCTTCTTGTACATTGCTTTGAAATACCCTTTTCCCCGGTGGATGGCTTTTTTTTGGAGCTGACTCAAACACCAACTGCATTTGTGGCGTCAAATGTACAGTGGACCCTCTACTTACGGAATTAATCCGTATTGGAACGGTGGCTGCAAGTCGAAAAGTCTGTAGGTCGAATCTCCATTGACCTACAATGCATTTGGAGCTGACTCAAACACCAACTGCACTTGTGGCGTCAAATGTAGTTTGTATGTAGGTCTGTTTGCTGAGAAATCATACATTGTTTTCTAAATCAGTACTCCCATTTTGCAAGAGTTTCTGTGTACATTTAAAAAGTTTTCATCCAAAGATTTAAAATACTTTCCTTCTTTGAAATATTCCTCATTACATCATGGAAAGAGACTACATTTTTCTTTTGTTCAGGACCATTCACGTAACATTGTTGTCCCTTTTTTTCAGTTGGATACATTATACATCATTTCTCACCATGTATTTCTTCATGTTCACAAACCTGTATGATTAAAGAGATAGTGGTTATGGCTAAGCTGTCTGAACATTGTTAGATGGGAGGGAGAAGTCTGTCCATTTCTCTTTTGCCCACATACATTTTATTTGTATATATATTTAACTGGTGCATACATTCCTATCTTGAAGAATTCTTGCCCTGAGGTATTAGTGAATTCTAGGGAATTTACATCAATAGAATCAACAGAATTCTTGCTCAGAAAATAATGTTCTTGTCTTCAAGAGTTGGAACTAAAACTAGCCCACACTGTGTTGCAACCTATCTTGAAACATTCAGTGACCATATACTGTATTCTTTTACATTTTAACCTTTTACTGTCCTTGGGTCTCTTCAGTCCTTAAATGAACTACAGAGGGACTTTTTTCCATAAATATGGATAGTGTGGCCACAGTACCATGGATGAAGGAAAACCATATGCTGAATGCTTGCATAGCCAACAATTATTTTTATTCCATACATTCTTGATACTTATAAGGTCCTATTACATGCTAAATGCTTAATATAAAATTAACAATCCATCCATTATGTGCGGTAAGTTTTTTTATTAAACAGTCACAGATCAAGATCATGTTTAATTAAAATTAACTTGCTTATGAAAGCCAAGTGCATTAATGATTCACAGTGACCTTTTATTACCTGCAGTCCCTTGTTTTGGCTGGATGATTGACAGCTTGCTGTTTGGCTACCGTGTTGTATTTCAGCTGACAAGACTTTTCATTTTAACTCAATTTGCCTGCCGATCACAAGCTGGTGGCAGGCCAGGCTGAAGTCGCCCAGCTTTGCCTCAGCAGCTTGCTCTATTTCTCATTAGTACGCATTTATTCAGTGGAAATTGGAAGACAAATGCTTGAAGGCATGTGAACTAAGTATAGCAAATTAGGTTTAAAGACTGAATATTTATAAGTATATTGAAACAGCTTTGACTTTTAAAAAAAGATCTTGGGTGAATTGAACGCCATGTATGTTAAAAGAAAAAAAAGAGTGGGAGGATGCTAAAAATAACAATACGAGGGAAGTCTGTGGTCCCTCTCTGTGTGAGTGTGTTTGCATAGAAAATACGTCAACTTTTCTGACAGCCCCTCTTTGTGTGCTGAAGTTTCGATGTCTCATGTGTGTAGGAAAGAGGAAAAAATGAGGGTCATGTTCATTTGCTGCTTGGTTATCCCTTGGTATGCTTTAAATTGCCTTGTTTGTTCGGCACTAGCACAGAAACAGATGTTGCTCTACCGTGCTGGATAATTTACTGTACCTCATGGTGGAGAAGGGAAGGCCTCCCAAGCTACCCAGCTGGTCTGACAGGCGCACTGGCTTGTGCCTACTGAAGTATGACAACAGCAAGTACGGGCTGCAGTTTTATCATCCAGTTGTCATTCTTTTCAGCACAGAATTCCGGCATTCGTACAGAGACTGTTGGTGGTGGAATGAATGCAGCATCTTTTCTGTTTGTTTATTTTAATGGTAGACTGCCGCAGACCCACACAAGCTCCATCCTCCTTTGTTGATCATAATGTGACTCATTACTTTTGTCATCTAAGGATTATCAGCATGATCGCTCAGAGCAAGAGCCAAGCTCGCCTCCCCATGCGCTCCCCCCACCCACCCAATAACTGGTACTGGAAGGTAAAACAGATTTGTCATTTATGATCTGACCACTAAGCCACACTTTGAGCTCCATTATTGTGATTAACTCCTGCATAAGATATGCTTGCCCGATTGTCATTTGTGATACTGCAGTGGGCCACAGACTGCCATGGTTCCTGGAGAAAACATTAGCCAATCTGATGTGACTGTGGTGCCTGCGCTATTCAGGGGAAACCTGCTCTCTCAGCAGCAATGCTTTGCTGATTATTTTGCTCCCTGTTGTTGTTGTTCTTGTGTTTTCTTCACTCCCCCTCCTCAGCACTCCACCCAGCACCCAGTTGGTTCATTCTGTGTACAGTGGGATTGCATATGTCAGCTACCATTTCCACACGGCAGACTAAATGGGTGTTATCAGCTTCATTTTGCCGAGGCTGGAGATAGCCTCAGAGTGTGGAGTCTGGACCTTGCCTTTGTACCACATAAAGTTTTTTTGTAGCCAGAGTGCTGCCAGTTGAAATCTATCGTGTCGGGTGCCTTGTGGCTATCCACAGTAGAGGCCATGTTTTGGAACCAGGGTTCTTTGCCGGCTTCGTCACCAACAAGCCGATTTGACTCTCCCTGATTATAGTAATGAAGGCAGTCCAAAAGAATATGCACAGCCTCACTGTACGTCACATTGAATCATGGCGCTGACCAAACAGAGCTGACCGCAGCCTCATTTCTTTAGACAAATGCACGCTTAAGGAAAAAAAAAATCTCTGGCGAGGAAGCATCCGAGGCCACTTTATTTGCTATGCATGGGGAGACAGATTTAATTTTTAGTGAAAGAACGTTTGTTATTATCTTCTTCAGATGTTTCCATGCTGGGGTTGCTCCTCTTTCTAGTAAAGTAACCTCTGGGTTTGAGGGAGTCACCCAACCTCATATCCCACATAAGAGATGATTTCTGATATACATTCCAAATTGCATGACATCAGACATCTCATTGATCTTTTGTAGGAAGATTCCTTTTATGTCTCTAGCTCCAGTTTTTGGTTTGGTTTGGTTTTAAAATAGGCTAATTTCCACCATGATGACTTGAAGGAATTGTGCTGCCTATTACGGCGCCCAGCGACGCTGGTGGAAAAATAGTCAGTTTTGATTACAAAGTGAGAGATGCAGCCCAGACAGGAGCTACATGCTGGTATGCGTGTTATCAGAATGATTTATGCAAATTATGCATATTATTCCCAAAGGAATTCCTCCTCAAACTGCCAGGATAAATTGCCGGAAATTAGCCATAAAATCTGTCGTGCTAGGAGCAAGAGAGGTGAAGGCCATTGGGAAAGCAAGGACATTTGCCTTCAAGAGCCATCCAAGTTTATGGTGGGCTTCTGGAAAAGGTTGAGGATTTGTGTCAAAATATTACACAGAAGATGTGCTCCCCCCACCCACCCCCATTAACTCATTAAAGTGCTGCATATAATGTGAATTTGCTCAGCACAGCAGTTGAAATCATGATGTGAGGTGGAAGACATTGCTAATGGTTCTTTAGAATACCCGGTACTCGTACCTCCCACTTTACTAGTACAAATATCTGAGTGTATGCTTTTTCTAATAAACCCTAGCATGTAAGTGGCATTTTCTCATGATCCCTGAAAAATATTTCATTTAATGAAAGAGTTCCTATCTTTGTACATAAACACATGCATAAAAGCTTTCCTGTCTTCTGAATGTGTTGTCCCCAACGTGAGGCTGAAATAATGGTTTTCCACTCAACATCCAGTGTGCTGCCTAAAGCCTAACAGAATTCATTGGATCTATCAGTAGGAATCATAGTTAAAAGTTCAGAACTGCAGAGCGTTCTCTAGCCCTCTGGGAAAGTTTTATTACCAATTTTAGCCCCCGCCCCCATTTCCCTTGCTGTGCTTTTCTAGTAAACCTGTAGATCCCTTGCAGCTATAGCAGCTTATAACTTCCAATCATCTTCCATATTTTTAATGCTTTGGGGTTCTTTTTTTTCCCTCCTCTCCTTTTTATTTATATTCAGAAAGTGCTATAAATGAGAGTTTACGAATCTGTGCGTCTTCCATGAACATCCGCCTCGCCAAAGAAGATTTGGTTCTCAAGCTCACAGAAAATCAGGAAGTCAGATTGAGAAAAGGAGATTACATTGTTATATATCCTCCAATTCTGCACATGCACCCTGAGGTCTACGAAGATCCTGAGGTAAACATTCAGCTGGTATTATACATAGCACTTTAGGCACAATCCAGCAACTGAGCTTTCTATAATATATAGGTTTTTGTCTTGTTTTTTAAAGGGGGGGGGAAGAAGCTGCTGTTACTTCTTGTGGAACAAATCTTCCTACTTTCAGATCTTTTCAAGGTGGCTGCAGGTCAAAGGATTCATGGCCTTAGAGAGAGAAAATGCAGTGATCAGACTGACTGCTACCCCTTTGAGGAGAACAGATCATTGTGCATTGACTACCATAAACTTGAGGCTAAATGTGGGCTTTGTTTGGAGGTGGATCATTGGATGCCCAGAGAAGGCTGGATAATAGAAGGTGGCTTAAAGAGCAAGTAATGTGGGCCATTTAGCTAAGTGGCCCCAAAGCATCATTGACTCTCTAAAGCCCTTATAATAGCAGTATCTTCAAGAGCCACATGCTTTTTCACTCCTCTTTATAGGGATTGGCCCTTTCATGGCCAATTAGTATGGTGTCGTGAACTTGAGATTGTAAAGCTGTTGCTCTGCAGTGAAGCTTTGAGGGTAGTTGTGTCATCTCCTTGTAATCCCCCCCTTCTGAAGCAAATGTTAATGAATATCAAAATGTAGAATTTAATCCAACCTTAATGGACTTAATTTTATTACCTGCATGCAAACTGAAGTTTGTGCTCCCTGAATTTGTTTTTTTTTTTTTAACAAAGGAATTTGTTACTGTCTTGATGCCATATAGGAAGAAAAATGCAGTTTTTACTAACAATTTGTTGTAAAATCACTGCCATGGCTCTCCATGTGTTATGTATTGCTTTAATGACATTTTTGCTGGTGATGTGTACAATTATTCTCAGCCTCTAATTGTAATACTTTTGAATTATAGACAGGTCCAGAAGAATATGGACGTAGTGGATCACTTTGAGGTTTATATTCCACTGACAGGAGCCGAGGAAATTTGACTAATTTGTCCTCTATCTGGAGGCCCTAGTGTCACCCCTTACCCCAGATTGCCCAGTTCTGCAGAGCAGGTTTTCAGGGAGATTTAAGGGACTATGGAAATTGATGCTAGAATCAATCTACTGAAATAAAAATTAATTATATTTCTACTTTTTGAAAAATTATACCACAGATAAAACAAAAAAAGGTGGACTACAGCTCCATTCATTAGATGTAGACTGCATCTGATAAAGTGCAGAGGCTGCAGTTAAAAAAAAAGGTATTCCAGATAAAAATCTCCTGTCTTTAATGAGCCATAGCACTCTTTGTTACTCTGCTGCAACCAGACTACCACTCTGGAAATTGACACAGAGAAAATGCATTGCTTATGCTTAGCTAAATGAACTGGAATTGCTTAATACAGTGGTTCACAACGTTGAGTAACCCATGTGTTCTTGGACTGCAGCATGTGTAGCTGAACATAAGCAATGTGGTGAAAATTTCTTGGAGTTGCAATCCAAGAACACCTGGGTCACCCAAGATTGGGAGCCACTAGCTAAAAACATTTCTCTACTGCCAGACAATCCTGTGTCTGTAGATATCTAGGAAGTTTATAAAGTTGAGAGCAAGGTGGAAAAAGATAAACAGATAAAGCCAGAGTTACTTTTTTGGACTATAACTTCCAGACTCCCACATGGCCATGCCAAAAAGTAATCTTTTCCAACACTGCATAAGGTATGCAAACATAAAAGTGGCAGGGGAATGCACTTTCAAATGCCTGCTCAATTGCTTAGAAATCTGGAAACTGCAAGATTAACAAAGTTGAAGAGCTTCTTTCAGGAGCCCACATTTCCAATCACCACAACAGCAACAATAACAACAACAACAGGAACAACAGCAATAAACAACAAAAATTCATCTCTATTTTTTGAGGATTACTTCACCATAGACAAAAATGGCAATAGGACCAGAACATCAGCTGATAATCTTTCTTTCTTTCTTTCTTTCTTTCTTTCTTTCTTTCTTTCTTTCTTTCTTTCTTTCTTTCTTTCTTTCTTTCT